CCCCCACCCTAAATAGAAATATTATTAAGAGTATTTTCTTTTCATGTTGTATATAGAGTACCTTTTTTTTTTAATTTCAACATAATGAGTATTTTTTTTTATGGTGTAAAAAAGGTATTTTCTTTCATTTAAAGAAAAAAGTACTACTTTCTTTCTATGACGTAGAAAAAGTATTTCTTTTATTTCTTTTCAAGATGTAGAAAAAGTATTTCTTTTATTTCTTTTCAAGATGTAGAGAAAATATTTTATTTCATGTCAACAAAATAAATACTTTCTTTTCATGTTGTAGAAGAGTACTTCTTTTTTTAAGCCAAAAAATGAGTATTTTCTTTATAGTTATGAAGTACAAATTTTAACATTATTTATGTGCGAATTTTTAAAAGAATAATTAAATTCTTGAAAAAATAAAGTCTTGAAAATATAGGGTATTTGAGGGGAGGGGGGAGAGGTAGGGGAGAAGTCTACTCAAGCTTCTACATGAGTCTACACCCCTTTAATTTTCATTTAACAAGTAGCTTATTTTTGTATGTATGCTTTTAAAGCCTTTTTTGGCCATTGCTACTATATATACTAGTATACTTATCCGCGCGATGCGCGAATCAGTTAAACCAAAAAAAAAATGAAAAGGGATATTGGAAACATATGTATATTGCATACTAAATTTATTGACCGTATTAAAAAGAATTATACCAAAAATAAAAAGACTAATTTTGTTGGATTGTCTGTCTATATTTAGTACTTGACTTTAAAAGGATTAGTCCACATAAAAATTCATAAATTTTTATCTCAAGTAAATTTATAAAGGACATCACATCTGGTTCAGATCTTATTTTACCAAATGAAGCTTAATCAAGGTGCACCAACTATGTTCTTATCGAATTTGAGAAACGTCTTTGCTCTTCTCTCGTCGAGAGAGAGGAGCTCACATGCATCGATTACTAAACCATCATCGAATCCCGAATTTTTTTTTATCATGCCAAACAACTCGGCTAATTAAAGGAAATTAAGAACAATAAAATATAATTCATACAGATTATAGGTTTTTTTCCATTTCACATTTGGTCGAATCACACGTAACTTATGATAACTGCACATAAAAAATAACCAAAATAAATAAATAAATAAAATAAAAGTCTAACTTTAAAAAAAACTTAAAGGTTTTTTCTTTCCGATCTTTTAAGCTTAATAGGCATACGTATATAACTTTATAATCTCATTATCTATATGGAGAGCCTGTACAACGACGAAAGTTTGACATCCTCAAATTCTAATAACAAGTTATAATAATATGCAATTAGTATTTATGAACTATAAATGTTATAGAAATAAGTCAAGTCAAATAAAAACCTTGTGATAATGGTAGTTCATTTAAATTCGGTAGAAGAAGATCTGTATGAACATTTGAAGTCGACAAACCACATCGCATATAATGTTCTTGCATTGAATTTGGATTCTGCGTGAGACTGAGATGATAAAATGTGTCCACAACTTTTTATGGGTATACTACGTAATCGAGTGGGATTTTCTCGATTTATAATGTCCGTTAATGGTTGTTTCGTTTTCCCTTTTTCAAAAGTATTCCTTCTAATAGTAGTAGGGTCAACAAAGTCTATAAACCATAAAACAAAAAATTAGCTAACTGTTAG